AATTTTACAGCAGGGCTATTTCAAAAAAAAAAAAATTCCGTGTAACTTGAGTAGATTCCGCACACTTGGAGGTCTTTGACTGGTGTAAAATTGAATAGTGGGAACAGGGATTCCCAATCCTTGGCTGGAAACCTGAGGACAAAGGTCCAAATAGGCCCTCTAGATGGTGGTGGTGACCAAATTCACAAGGACAAATAATGTACACACAGCGGTGATGACCAAGGCAGCTTCTGATGGCAAGAAAGGGTTGGGGAGTCCTTTTCAGCTTGGACAGGGGCAGGGGGACAGAGGCAGCCTGGCTGATGGCCAAGCCTGATACAGGTGGGCTGAGAGTTTCACAACAGATTAAATGAGATGGTTTGAGAGGATAGATTTTTACAAACTGTAAGATCCTAGTGAGTGTGAGGTAGGGATGCTTTTCTTATAGATTCATTCAGGCAGTGTACTCCAAACATGCCCTCACCCTTATATATGATTTGTTCCAGTTCAGGCCCCTTCCTGGGTTTATAGTCAGTAACACAGACCACTTGCTGCCTCTAAGGTCTAATGTGTGTCCTGGTGTAAGCACTGGTTTTACAAGCCCCAAATAGTATTCCCACTAACAGGAAGCACAGTGTGGGTGTTGCTGTGATGCCAGCACTCCTTCAGCTTGTCAGGAAGGACACTTGTCAAGTGCCTTGGAGTGCTATCCTCTCCCTGTGGTTTCATTAGTGGGGATGTGGCAGGGGGGGGGGAGCATAGGACAGGCCTCCGGTGCCCAGACACCCTTCCCCTATGACAAGTCAACACTGTTCACCATAGACACTTCCAGATCCAGTCCAGAACTTCCAAAACCTCACTTGGACATTGATTGTTTAAGGTGGGAGGAATTTGTTCCCAGAGTTAATGGCCTTTTAAGTTGAATTTGAAATTTTAGGAAAATTTCATACTCACATGCAGTGTGTTTTGGACACGTCCACCCCACATTGCCCTCTTGTCACTTCCCGCTCCACTCCTACTGGTCATCTTCCCAAACAGGATCCCTCCTGCGCTTTGTTTAGCTTTTGGTCACTAATTGAGTTTAATCAGGGAGGCTTACAGAAGCATGGGTGGGAGGATTATTTGCCAGAACATGAGCTACACTGCTGATGAAAACGCCACCCCGCCCCCAGCAACCATTACCTACTAGTAGCTCCACAGGCAAGGACAGACCTTTGTGAGTCCCTTCCTTGTCTATGACAGAGCATGGATGGGCCCGTTCTTGTGTAGGTCTTGTGCAGGCAATTATAGTGGTGATGCATTCATGACTGCAATGACTGTGTCATGTCTGGAAGACCACAGTTCACAACGCTCCTCCCCTTCCTCGACCTCCTACACTTTTTCCGCACCCCTCATGCACCATGTTCTTTGGGTCTTAAAGCAGGTGATGTAGATGTCTCATTTAGGACGGAGTACAACAGTCTCTTGTTCTCAGCATCTTCACAAAGAACGTGTGTTTTAAGAGGCAGCCAGGATGCTGGAGCTGGTCCCACCCTGTGAGAGGGCACTTTCACTCCTCGCCTGTGGTCAGCTTCTTGTCCTAGGTCGCTTCTCACCCCCCTCATCCTGTTTTCTCCTTAAGAGCCCAGGGTTCTCTGTAAAGACAAAAGTACTTTTCTTCAAGGCAGCAGTCATGAAAATCTTACAAGGGATAGCCTGAGTGGCGGTATCTGTTATGATAAATCTTTCCGTCAAAAGCCGCCGAGCCCCAACGCCACGTGTGCGCTCTACGCCAGCCTCCCGCCTGAGTTAGGGTCCCAATTAATGCACAGAGAGACTTGTATTAGGTACAATGCTGCTTTAATGCATAGGGACAGTATATCATCATCATATTCAGCCTGAGCCTGTGGGTCAGCATAAATACCCTCACCAAGAATCTTATCTAGAGGGGCTTCAAAACCTTCTTTTACGCCCTGACACTCAAGGAGCTTCTCCTCTTTCCTCACCAATGCCTTCCACTGGATTTGGCATGAATTCTCAAGTCCAGCTGCTACCAATTGTCCCCAATCTGTGGGTGTCACCCTGTTAAAGGTTGCCCATTAATATAATAGCTGTTTTACGTATGGGCTATGGAGACCATATGAGACAACTGATTCTTTAATATTCTTAAGATCCTTCAGTTGTATAGGTTGCCATTCATAAGCCATAAGTCCATGAGGGTGTTTCTTAGAAGCTGGCTTTTCTACCATGGTAGCTGGGTACACTAATGGTGTACGAGTAACAACCTTAGAGGAATAGTCATGATACCTGGGTGGAGTAGGTGCCTCAGATTGGAGTGATTCTGCTTCTGAGGCATCGCAACGTGTCCCCTTTTCCCCTTCTTCCTCCAGCGGCGCCATGTGAGCCACCGGCAAGGAGGGACGCCAATAAGGCGTACAATAAGATGTCTTATAAAATATATAGATTTATGATAATTAAGACTGAGCTAACAGATGAGAATCCTAGTCATTGGCCAAGCAGCATTTGAACCTAATACAAGTCTCTCTGTGTATTAATTTGGGCCCTAACTCAGGTGGGCGGGGGTAAAGCGCACACGTGGCAGTGGGGCTCGGGGGCTTATGGCAGAAAGATCTATTGTAACAGGTATCCATATCTGCATTCTGGTTAGTTGTGGGCCAAGCTAGTTCCTGAAGGTGGATGATGTTTTGGGAGAAGCAGAGCCTGAAGGCAGCATAGTTTTCAGCTGAACTAGACAGAAGTGAACGAGTCCCTATGTGAGTCAGCCCTTTCTTTAGAGGGAGTTCTAAAAAGAGACCTCCAGTGGACAGGTGCAAGTGTGGTATTGAAGGTCACAGAGAGAAAGGGACAGAGACAAGTTCTGGATGTCACAAGTCAATGTTCTCCTTAATAGCACAGTTTAGGGAGGGAGAGACGGTTCTGACGTTAACACAGGCTGTTCTTCCGGAGAACCGGGGTTTGGTTCCCAGCGGCCATATGGCAGCTGACAGCAGTCTGTAACTCCATTTCTGGAGGATCTAACATCCTCTCCTCTTCTGGTCTCCAAGGGCACTGCAAACATAGCACACTGACATAGCATGCAGGTAAAACACCCATACATGTAAAACAAAAGTAAATGAACGTTTACAAAAAGGCCCCATTTTAATGAAAGTGAAGAGATGAAGAGTCAAGGGCACTTCAGTGGCCCACCAGAGAGGCACCTAGAAGCAGATCTGCTAAGAAAATGAGATAAACCAACAAAACCATGTAGTGCCTATGTGGACTCTCTCCCTCCAGGCTTTCAAGTGAACCTTCCAACCCTGTCCCCTCCACCACAGCCCTGCTCCCTCCACCACAGCCCTGGCTCTTCCTACCCCACAGGCCTGGCTCCCTCCACCCCATAGCCCTGGGTCCCCCACCACAGCCCTGACCCTCCCCCACCATAGCCTGAGATCACCCATCACAGTCCTGGCTCCCCAACCACAGTCTTAGCTCCCCCAACTCCACAGCCCTGAATCACCCACCACAGCAGGGGATCACCCACCTGGATCCCCTCACCCCACAGCCCTGGCTTCCCCACACAGTCCTGGCTCCCCCCACCCCACAGGCCTGCAGCACCCACCACAGCTGAGAGCAGTTTAGAGCAAAGGAGACACTTGCAGAAAGAAGAGGGAGATAGGGTGAGTGTCCCTGATAAGGGAACAACAAATACCTGGACAGAGTTAGAGGCTATTAACTGAAACTACACTAAACACTGGCAACTGATCCCAGAACATCAGTCACTATGACCTGAGGACCCCGAGCCAAGTGCTTCCAGGGCCAGGAAGGCCCTCAGTGGGCAAAGGCAGGTAGGGGAAGAAGCAACCGATTGGAGCCTGCCACAGGGTGACATGGGGTTGGTGGAGAGGACGAGGCTTGCTATGGACTGTAGGTTCTCTTATTTATACATATGTGTGTCTTGCCTGCACATGTGTCTGTGCATCACAGGCATTTCTGGTGTCCAAGGAGTCCAGTAGAGGGTGTCAGATCCCCTGATAGTGAGCCATCATGGGAGTGCTAGGACTCAAACCTGGGTCCTCTGGAAGAGCGGCCGTGCTCTTAACTGCTGAGCCATCTCTCCAGCTCCTCCAGGTCCTTTTAAAAGATGCAGTCACAACTTATTCTGAGTCACTAAGTCATGGATTTCTCAAGAAAAAAAAAAACCCGTAATCTTTTCATGTGAAAATCCCTGTTTTAGATATTGACAACTTGTTCAGACAGTCTTAAAAACTACTACTTATCAACACTGCTTAGGCTAAAAGACATGGTCAGACTTGACTGGAGTTCTCTCCTTTTGCAAAACTGGTCAATGCCTTTAATTTTACAGGATTGGACTTGACCATGATTCAGTGAGGCCAGCCTTCCTCTGTGTGCACACGGACACATGTGTAGAACAACTTGGGAGAGTTGGTGCTCGCTGTGGGTTCCAGAGATCAAACTCTGGTTGTTAGGGTTGAGTGGAAACTCCTCAGTCCACTTTCTGACCCCCAGCTCAGCTTTTAGCCAGGGAAGCTCTGCAAAGGGACTCCTCCTACCCACACACTAGCGAACTGCGGTAGTTTGAATGTATTTGGCCCCCATAAACTCATAGGGAGTGGCGCTATTAGAAGGTGTGGCCTTGTTGGAGGAAGTGCGGTCTTGTTGAAGGAGACTGGATGACACAAACCTTTAATCCAGACCTTGAGGCTGGAGGGCACACCTTTAATCTGGGCCATGCCTTCTGTTGGAAGTGGGTCACTGTGGAGGCAGGCTTTGAGGTTTCATATACTCAGGATACTGCCCAGTTAGTTGATTTCCTGGTGCCTGAAAGATCTAGCAGTCTCAGCTCCAGCACCACCGCTGCCTGCATGCCGCCATGCTCCCTGCCTGATGAGTGAACCTTTGAAACCATAAGTGATTAAATGTTTTCCTTGTAAGAGCTGCCATGGACGTGGTGTCTCTTCACAGCAGTCGAAACCCTAACTAAGACACAAACAAAGCCCGTCTGTGCTTTTCTCTTCTTACAGGTGTTTGGGTTCTTGGTCTGGACTCTGGTGGCTGCCACACACATAGCGAATCCTTTGCTGCACGGATGGGTGCTATATGTGTCCCTCACCTCATTTCTCATCTCCCTGATGTTCTTGATGTCCTACTTGTTGGGATTTTACAAACGTTTCGAGTCATGGAGGGTCCTGGTAAGAACCAGAGGGTGGCACCCCCTGTACTGGTGTCCTGGGTTTGAAAGGACCGTGAGCTTCTCCAGGTGGAGAGGGAGAATGGAAGTCCTGGGATTAGAGACCCTACTGGAAATAGATTCCTAGAAAACCACAGAATCAAAATTACTGTGTTGATTACTAATTCAAAGTGAAAACACATTTGTAAACCTTTCCTTGTATTTCTCTCCACTGCCATCCTAGTTAGGATTGTACACACTTTCCTGAAGTTAAGAATATTACCTGGAGAGAAAGCTCAGCAGTAAAGAGCACTTGTTGCTCTTGCAGAGGACCCAGATTTAGTTCCCAGCAACCACATGGAGGTGTGCAACCTTCTGTAACTTCAAGTCTAGGAGGATCTTGACATCCCTCTTTTGGCCTCCATGGACGAGGCATGTATGTGGTGCACAGATTATATATATATATATATATATATATATATATATATATATATACTGAGACAAGAGGATATATTGAACCTAGGTATTCAAGGCCAGTTTGGGCAACATAGGAAAGCCCTGTTTCTTAAAAGTAATTCTGGGCTGGGGAGATGGCTTGGTGGGTAAAGTGAAAGTGTGAAGACCTACATTTGATCTCTACAACCTACAAAAAGCCCCGTGCAGTGGGCCACATCTGTAACCTCAGTGATCCCATGGTGAGATGGGCATTGGGGACAGGAGAAGTTCTGCCTTCCAAGGGCATGCCACAGCACGTGTGACCTACACTTTCTTGGAGGTTACAAAATGCTGATCCGATGATGTACATTCCCTCAAGAGCTAGTGAGCATCTCAGTCTCTGTAGGACATTCCTGTTGTGTTTATAGCAGAACATAGAGAATCAAAACTGAAATCAGGGGCTAGCGAGATGTCTCAGCAAGTGAAAAGGTCTTCTGCCAAGCCTGGAAACCTGGGTTCAATCCCTGGAACTCACATGGTGGAAGGAGAGCAGTAACTGCCACAAGTTATCCCCTGACCTCCACACGTGTGCTGTGTCCCCTCCCCAACACACACATACACACACACACACACACACACACACACACACACCAAAGAAAGGGCAGTAGGGGATGGGTTTGCTTCTCTCTCCCCCTCTTCCCTGCTGTGTAGGAAGAGAGAGAGGAGTTGCTCGCTTGAATAACATTGGCCCCTGTCTCTGCTCTGCATTTCCAGGACAGTCTGTACCACGGAACCACAGGCATCCTGTACATGAGTGCCGCTGTCCTGCAAGCACACGCCACTATCATTTCTGAAGGTGGTAACTCAAGCCAATACTACATCAACACTGCAGCCTCAGTGAGTAGTTGCATGCCTATGGCAATGACACAGACATGTGCACATGGAGGGCATTGATGCCCTCAATGCTGTCATGAGTGTTTTGTACAACTGTGTCAAGTTACAGGGGCCTGAAGGAAGGACAGTATGTGTGTGTGGATGCATCCAAACGCACAAGGGCCACCTCTTGTCTTGTGTTTGTCCCACTCAGCTTGCTCCCCACAGTCATCAAAATCTTGTTCTTTCTCCTGATAAACAGGACCACATTTTTCTTTTCTCGCTGACGTCTGCTAAGTGGTTCAGCTGCCTTGCAATGGAGCCTGAGCTGCTGCACACAGTCAGCTATTCTGGGTCCTTTTGTTTCAATGACAGAAAAGTCCACAGAAATGTCATTGCTAAGTAATGGAAGCCAAGGCCAGATGGACACAGTAAATTGTGGAAAAAGCGTGATGCCCAGGTGGTGGCACCCAAGCGGTAGGCTTCTGAGCCCACCTGTCTCTTTCTCTACTGTGAAATGATGCCCTCTTGTGACAGGAAGCCAAGTGTGAAATGACCCATGTCACCCTTTGGCTTCTACAGGCTCCCACGCCGTGCCACAGGCAAAGGCTGCATTGGGGGGCACTGTCAGAACAGGGTACCAGACAGATATTGTGGGCCTCTGGGAAGGCCACAGCATTTCCCAGCTGCCTTCCAGCCTCCCTGGCCCCTTTCTTTTTTTGTCAAGGCTCTTGGATTTCATTAAACTCCTAGTCCCAAAGATGGTATTCGGGTAGCCTTGCTACTGCTGCTGGCTCCCAATCAGTCCTGTACTACACAGGCTTCATTGCTGTCCCCAGAAACACATACTCTCTCATTCAGGATCTAGACAAGGTTGTCCACATCTCAGATTAGCAAGGCAAGCTCATTTCCCCCCAAACACTACCCTTCCACAACCCTCACCCAACATCCCCCCCTTTGCCCTCTCTGCCTCGTACTCTCCTGGCCTAATCCCTATCTGGACTATTTGTAGAGGACCTGCTCACCTGGCTTCCTGCTGATAAATGTAACCTCTGTGAGGCAGGTGTTATTTCTTTACTTATTTTCATACTTGTGACAGTGTCTCACCATGTAGCCAGGCTGGCCTCAAACTTGTCATTCTCCTGACTTAGTCACCTGGGTGCAGCATTAAAGGCATGTGTCACCACATATGTCTTAAAGGCAAGAACTTTTTCATGTCTTGCTTACTACTTTAGCAATAGCTATTCTTGAAGCACTACTGTGCTTTGAAGCTACTTGATAGATGGATGGATGGATGGATGGATGGATGGATGGATGGATGCATCAATGAGCCAGTGGATGAGTGAGTGTATGGATGGATGGATAGATGATGGTGAGTGGGTGATGGATGGATGGGTGGGTGGATGGATGGATGGATAGATGGTGGATGGGTGGATGGATGGACAGATGAATGGGTGTGTGAATGGATGACAGATAGGAACAGAGGGTTGATGAACAGAAGGACAGTGAGGGTGGAGTGACCTCCATCCTAAGGAGAGCCACTGTGTCATTTTAAGCCCAGTTTTAATCATGGTCATGTTTTTCTGATGGAACAGAATAGAAGAGGCAGACTCTGCAGGAGATGAACTGAGGACCTGAGAAGTCCTAGTGAGGGACGATGGTGGCCAAGACAAAGGAGGTGGGGATGTACCAAGAGCTAGTCAGACAGCAGACTTTGAGGCTGGCTTTGGCCATAACAGACGGAAGGAGTGAGAAGGATCACAGGTTTTGTCATTGGTAGCTGGAAGGGATGGAGGTCCTTGGGCTGACTAAGCTTAGTGGCTTTAGGAGACCAGTGTGGGCCATTAAGAGCTCTAGGAGAACCTGAGACTTCACAGACAGGTGATCCTAGCAGAGTTCTGGGCCAGTGATTGTGGGACTGGCCTGAGCACAGAGGCTCATATTGGAAATGGGCTCAGGGAGACAGCTCGGCATGTCACAGGTCCCAGGGCAGGGAGGGAGGGAGGGTAGATTTATGGACAGGTAAAGAGGCCCAGGTTGTATAACTGGAGGGGGTTCAGGCATGGAACAACTGGAAAACATAGCCCTAGCAATACCTAAGGAGAGATGATCCCAGAGGAAGGAGTGACTGCCCGGTGCTTGCTGCTCTCAGGCCATGCAGGGAGCACAAGCCCAGTGGGGATCTGGAGCTGTTGGGGTTGGGGTTGGGTCCTACACTGACCCTCTCTAACTCTCCCTGTCTTCCTCCAGTTCTTCGCCTTCCTCACCACCCTGCTCTATATTCTGCATGCCTTCAGCATCTATTACCACTGAAGCACAGGAGAAACAAACCCAGTGAGAGACTCCCTTTCTGGAGGCCGTGTGTGATTATCCCCCAAAGCAGGTCTTGCCATTTGTCATTCAGGTGATAAATGGAAGATCCACCAAGCCACCCACGGGGTCAACAGACAGACTATCTTTTTCTGGAACACGTGAGGAGACTCACTTTGGCTTTTTTCTCTTTGGACATTCTTACTCCTCATGGTGACTATGAGGAAACTATTCTGCCACCATCGATGACTGGTCCCTACCCTGAAGATTCACCCCACCCACGCCTGAAGATGACTGCCTCTTGAAGTTTCCTGACCATGAACTCACTTTTTGAGAAAGCCAGCTTTGAACCCCTCATGGTTCAAAATACCAGCTCTGCCAATCACACCTGTTTAGGATCTTTTGTCTCGGCAATGGTGCTCCCCACAATAGGTTTAGGAATATCAGATCTTATTTTCTAAAATAGGCAAAGCTCCATGAAGGCCTGAGGTCTAATGCCCTTGTGGTAGACCTTCCTTGTAGCCTCTGCTGCTGCCCTGGAGCAGTTGTCCAGCCCTACTTCCTCTGACCCCACCCCTACTTCCTCCACATTAAAGATCCAAGGAAAATGTACATAAAACCAATTCTGAGGGTAAGTTTATGGGAGAAATACACAGTTGGGTTTGGGGAGTCAGAATGGGAAAGACATAGCCAGTTAATGTGTTAGCCAGGTCCCTCAGAAACTGCTGGGCTCAGCGCGCCTGCGTGGAGTCTCACAGACCAACCTAAAGACCAGAAGATTCCTCCTCCTTCAAGAAAGACTTCAACAAAGGAGATAGGATGTTACAACCATGGATTCACCTTCCAGCTCCTCCCAGAAACACAGTGGGAAGAAGCAGTTGCTATATTGTTGCATGGGCTCTGAAAGGACCCCTCTGGAGGTCTGTGCTCACTTCTGTGTGGCCCCAACTCTTCCTAGGGACCCTCTGGGTGGGACCAGTCTTCAGGATTCATCATGGAAGGGAGTTTGTGTTTGGGGTCATATTTCTAAGAACAGGCCTTATGAGAAGAAAAGTATGAAGTCAAGTCAACATTCCCAGAGCAAGTTGGGCTCTCTGTCCTATCACCACCTGGGAGGGTCTCAGCCCCTTGCCAAGGGTATCTGCATGACTGGGTTTCCTCACCCAACAGGCCAACAGGACACAGCCCTATGGCTGCCTAAATAGATAATTGCCAAAAGGTAATTAACTGAATCTAGCTTTTCTCCATTCGGGTGTGTTGGGAGGTAGGAGAGGTGCAAGGTGGCTTCACTATTTACCAGTCACCCACTAATTGCCCTGATATCTTGAAAAGTCAACACCTATCTCTTATTTTGTAGCCTGGCAGCTGTCTGTGATGTTCACCATGGAATATTTACTGAATGGCCACATGCAAATAAAACATGTTTGTATAGTGGCAAGTGTGGAGTCTGTCCCCTTGATATTGCTAGAAGCTGGGCCCAGCCATCTTTTTTTTTTTTTTTTTTTTTTTTTTTTAGATTTTTTTTTTTTTTTTTTTTTTTGCTGTTTTTAGAGTTTACTATGTGATGCCATCAAAACCACCCTTGGGACTGTTTTAAGCTTTGTTTTAGCTAAGTCTCTGTCATAGTGTTCTGTTGCTGTGAAAAGACACTATGATAAAGGAACTTAGAAAAGGAAGCATTTAGTTGGGGGCTTGCTTAAAGTTTCTGAGGGTTAGTCCATGATCATCATGGCAGACAGTGTGATAGCAGGCATGATGCTGAAGAAGTAGCTGAGAACCCAAGTCTGATCTGAGGAAGAGAGAGAGAGAGAGAGAGAGAGAGAGAGAGAGAGAGAGCTCCTGAGCCTGATGTGGGCCTTTGAAACCTTAAAGCCTACCCCAAGTGGCACACCTCCTCCAACAAGGCCACACCTCTTAATCCTTCCCAAACAGTTCCACGGAGGACCAAGCATTTAAATATATGAGCCTATGAGGGCCATTCTTATTCAAACCTCCATAGTCCCCAAGGGCAGAAACACAATCATTCTGTCTTATTAGGGAAGGTAGAATCTGTCTCCAGGGCCCTGGGTTGTGGTGTCATCATCATTTGGGGGTAAGTTCAACCTCAAACAATTAGACACAGTTGGCGTCCCACCAGCCAGAGCTGGGGAGACAGAAGGGCCTCCATCAAATCCCAGCTGAGCTTTTGTGTGACTCCCTGCCCCATTTCCCATTCTTCCTTCCCTCCTCCCATAACACAAGTCTTCTTCAGCTCCCAAGACAGACCTGCTCACTGCATAGTGCTCAACCCAAGCTTGGCTACCCTTAGCCTACCCGCAGCTGGTGCTGCATCATTGCCTCCTCCCTTCTCAGTCTGGAGTCTCCCCAGGCCCCTGCAGGGAAATCCTGATCTCAGAGGCCCTCACTTCCTGGAGATGAAAGGGCAACAGGATTTATTGTTGTTTTTTTCCTGTCCCTGATCAGTACCTGTTCCTTTCATGATTGGGGGTCACCACAACATGAGGAACTGTTTTAAAGGGTCGCAGCATCAGGAAGGCTGAGAACCACTGGTCCAAATGGTGACTCAAAGAACAGACAAATTCAAGAGGCAGTTAGAGGGGAGAGCCCTGTGCCAAGACAACTGTCCTCTTATGAAACTCAGTAGAGAGACACAGAGAGGGTACGTGGAGTCTGAGACAGGAACTAGACTTCTGTGATCAAAGCTCCAGGTAAGTCTGGAACACTCACTCAGAAGTTGGGAATGGCCCAAGGCTGGTTCTCCTGCAGGCCTGCCCAGGGAAATACAGTCTTGACAGCAGATTTACTGCCTCCACATGGTGAAAGAATAATTCCCTACCAGGTCTGTGGTAATTTGTTACAGTAGCCACAGGATGTTAATAGATACAGTGTAAAAATAATCACCTTGTACTGTCAGAACTGCTGTTCCCAAATGGCTTGATTTTCTTCTCTGCTTACGGTTGCCAAGCAAAGGAGCCCAAACACAGCTAACCTTCCTTTCATCTCCTCTTTCCTCCTCTACTCTCTCTCCTTTCCCTCCCTCTCTCTCCTTTCCTCCCCCTCACATCCCCACCAGGGACATGCACAGGATACTGGCTGTAGTTCTCTTGTAAGTGGGCCACAATTAAAGGATTATTTGTCTAAAAATTATAAACAGGAATTAAATGGGAATTTTTGATCTGAAAATTTTAACTAAAGTGAAAAATTCCCTACAGTAAACTCAACAGAAATGAGTAGAAAGAAAAAAATAACCAATTTATCAACTGAAAGTATTCAATCTGACTAATGGTCAGGAGATGGTGGGGGTTGGGGGACAATGGTGAAATAGTAGTCCACAATGGCTTGTGTGATAGATAATAGCAAGTACATGAAAATCGACTAATTATAAGAGAGGCCTGACTGACCCACTGCTGCCTCTCACTAGTGTGAATTAGAGTGAATACAGGAAGGGAAAAAAGCCACATTCTGAAACCATGTCTGATGCCGGAAGATTTCACTTCAGCCTCTCTGGAATCCCATCTCTTCAAATCAAATAGTTCAGATTTCTTGAAGGGCTTTCTTAGGAAACCAACAAAGTTGCCACTGAGACATCTTTTTAAAGGGTAAATTGAGCTCATCAGAATATGGGGTTTAAAAGAAGCCTTTCAGAGCAGCCAGCTGTCTTAATTAGGGTTTCTATTACTGTGAAGAGATACCATAACCAAAAAAAGCATTTGATTGGGGCTGACTTACAATTCAGAGGTTTAGTCCATTGTCATCTTGGCAGGAAGCCTGGTGGCATGTTGGCAGACATGGTGCTGGAGAAGTAGCTGAGAGTTCTACATTTGGAGCCACAGGCAATAGGAAGTGAGCCTTCCCACCCTGGGCATAGCTTGAGCATATAAGACCTCAAAGCCACCCCCCCACAGTGACACACTTCCTCCAACAAGCCACACCTCCTAATAGTACCACTTCCTGTGGCCAAACATTCAAACACATAGGGGCCATACTTATTCAAACCACCACACCAGCTCATACTATATTTTATGGGGTTTGTTTTTTAAGGTCTCAATAGAGACCTTTTCCTCCTGTAACACCCAGTATCGCTCATGTACTCACCGTGTTTAGTGGAGCACACAACCACCATGGGCTCTGGAAGCAGTGTGCGTGTGTGTGGTTCATATGTAAATATGTACTAAGAGAAAAAGACTACCAGGCTTGGGTGAGCGTGAGAGGGTAAAACAAGTCATAGACTTCCAGACAATCACGTGTTGCCTGCCTAGGAAGTCAGAGCCAAGGAGCTCCCTACAGTTGTCCCCAACTCCTCTTCAAAGGAAGAGTTGTTTACAACCACGAGGAATACACTTGGAATTCACAGTAGGTTCTCTCCCAGCACTGTGAACAAATGGAGCTAACTCAAGTGTGTGAAGAGGCTGTTGAGTTCTTTGCAAGTTCAAGAACTTTAATGTAAAATGGTGAGCATATTGCACAAGACAATGTGGTGTACGCTTGAAAGTTGCTGTCACAGATTTTTATTTTATATTTCAGAGATGGTGTAACCATTCAACGATAAAGTTGAGGGGAAAAGTAGAAGCCCTGGGAAATGCTCGTGACCCAGTAATGGAACACTAGCAGTCAAATGTGCTGAGAACCACATGCAAGGGGCCATGGGTAATCTAAATTTGATTTATTCTGCTCACAGACAGAATTGTATTTTTCTTTGTAAAGTGACAAGGCGGCGGGAAGAGCCCTTGGGGTGTCACATTTGCATACATGGATCCAGCCTAAGGTCAGAAACCCACTGGGGGACCATTTCTTCATTGAGTCAGGGGCCATCCTCCTCAACTGGCGTTATCACACTTGTAACTCAGGCCTTGGTTTCTCACCTGCAACAGCAAAAACAGTTGGTCACAACTCCCTGGAGTACTCTGAAGCGGCAATTAAAAAAAAACAAAACAAAACAAAAAACAAAAAAAAAAAACAAAAACAAAAAAACAAAACAGGACAGCCCTAGGAGGAATTCTTGCAGCAGCCAAACACATTAGCTTGAACTCTTGAGGCGCTCCGAGGACAGGCCCATCCCTCTTCTCTTCAGGTCTATTGTAGTTTCCCTCTTGAGCCTTTCTCTGGCTCACACAACAGTGGACAATAGGTTCCTCAATTTCTGAACTCAGGAATCTTTCCTTCCTCGGGTTCTGAGGGGTGCTGCTACCCACGCCATTTAGTGTGTTCCTCATCCTTTGGTGTGAGCTGCTGACACTCCAGAGACTAAGCACTTTGCGTGGGCACATACCAAGCCTTTACTTATTTTATATTTCCCGGTTTACCACTAAAGAGGTGTTCAGAATTCCCTTTCTAGCCCAGGCTGGCCTCAGACTTGTGGAAAGCCTCCTGTTTCAGAGTGCCAAGGGCTGGGTTTACAGGCATGAGCCACCATTCCTGCTAGAAAGAAAAGCAGTACAACATTGTAGCCATCATTTCAATCCTAGGGACTCTGAAAAGTGGCTAAATACTAAGTCACCACAGTCAAGGTGACCGTGTCCTACAGTGGGAGTATTGACACAGAATCACACCCTGGGTGTTTTTCCAAGAGTCACAGGAGGCCGAGAGGGAAGAAATCGCCAGCTGAGCAAAGAGTCTGCATTTCTTTACTAATGTCCTGCATATAGCACCCCGAAATTTTTTGTTCCTCAAGTGATACTGGCTCTGGCAGACTCTAGAAACTTGGAAGCGGAGATTCTGGGGCATGACCAAATGGTGAAGGCTTTCAGTTGTGGTGGATAAGTGGGAAAATATTTGAGTCCACGAGACCATGTCTCCCAAGAAGAAATCATTTGGCAGCCCTGGGAGATAAAGCTAAGTCACCAAGATTAACCTTAGCTTCAGGCTATGAGCAGCTCCCCATCCTCATGGCACCAGAAAGGGCACATATGAAGCCTCTTCTCTAGCCACTGGCCACAGCTGCCACCATAGACCGTAGAGTCAGCTTGAGTAGACAAAGCATTGTGTCTGGGTGTAGCCGTGAGGGGTTTCTAAGGAAACCAGTGCATGTGTGTAGACTGGGTGGGCAAGGCCTGTTCTCAATATGGTGGGCACCATACACCGGTGGGAGGTGGCTACAAGGACAGGGGACTGGAAAGCAGAGTTCAACCCTGCCTCTGCCCTTGAACAGGTGCACTCTTTCTATGCCAGCATCAGAGCTCCCGGTCTCCTGGCCCTTGGACTCCGGAATGTGGGTTCTCAGACCTCTGAGTCGCACAATTGGCTTCCTCGATTTTGTATCTTTCTGACATGGACTGAGCCACAACACCAGTGTTCTAGATTCTCCATCCTGCAGAACACAGGCTGCTGCTGGGCTCTGCTCAGCCCTTAGACTTGTCTAGACCAATTTCCCTCATA